ACCGCCAAAACCGGCCCCCCAACAACAACAACAACAACAACAACAACAACAACAACAACAACAACAACAATCATTTTACCCGAACGCTCAGTGTTCTCACCAGTGCCAGGGTTTTCATGCGACGCGAGACAATACCCCCACTTCGTGGGGGGGCAGTTCAAGCTCTACCAAATATCCAAACGACTCTTCGCGACCACCCAAACCCAGCTTCCCGCCCTATGACGTTGGGACACTTCACTTCGTGGCGTGCGGACGACCGTGGCTACTACACTGGCGTGGGGTACACACCCACAGAACTTGGTCACTTATTCGGGGCGCGCGTGTGCCCAGCATCCTGCAATTGTGACATACAATACATGACACAGACAGACAGAGAGAGAGACAGAGAGCAGACAGAGAGAGAGACAGAGAGAGCGGAGTTGGTCACATTTTTGGGGCAAGTTCCTAAGATCGTCGTGTTTTTTGTTGGTCTTGCGCGCGCGAATGTCCACTTTACTTTTTTTGGCAAGGGAGTATTGAAATTTGATTATGTTAGAACAAGAAAAAGTAGCTCGCGCGAGCTCATGTAACAGAAATGTTGAAAAACCATTGGTTTTGTGGGAGTCGGACAGCGCGCGCGGGATGAAATTTGGACATTTTTTTTTGAAAAACCATTGGGTTTTTGATGTTTTTATGTTGAAATCGTTACGAAACCTAAGGTTCTGGAAGGATTTCGTCTTGCGCGCGCGAATGTCCACTTTACCTTATTTTTTGCAAGGGATTATTGAAATTTGATTATGTTAGAACAAGAAAAAGTAGCTCGCGCGAGCTCATGTAACATAAATGTTGAAAAACCATTGGTTTTGTGGGATTCGGACAGCGCGCGCGGAAGGACATTTTGACAATTTTTTCTTAAAAAACCATTGGGTTTTTGATGTTTTTATGTTAAAATCGCTACGAAACCTAAGGTTTTGGAAGGATTTCGTCTTGCGCGCACGAATGTCCACTTTACCTTATTTTTTGCAAGGGATTCTTGCAATTTGATCAAGTAAGAACAAGAATTTTCATTTTATGGTGTTTTTTGCAAGGGAAAACGGATTACAACAAAACAACCGGATCCGGTACCAATCGTTTTGCCTGAGACTTCCTCACGAAAATGATGAAAATGTGGCTGCGGCCTAGGCGCGGCGGGGGGGTCGTGCACCAGGGGTCCCAACAATAATTATTCTTAAGAAGAAATAATGTTCAACAACAACAACAACAGCAACAGCAACAACAACAACAACAACATCAACTACAACTACAACTACAACTACAACTACAACTACAACTACAACTACAACAACAACAACAACAACGCTCCCGCTCGAGACATCCTCCTTCTTCACTCAGGGCTGGTTTTCTTGCTCGCCACCGAAAGCCGCCGTCCTAACAAAACCAGCGCTCCCGCTCGAGATTTCCTCCCGTTTTACCTTGGACTGGCGCGCTAGGCTTTCTCTCATCGGCGCCGCCCCCAGCAAAAACGCTCCCGCTCGAGGCGGAAACCCAACTCGTTGGGTGCTTGCCCAAATGAGCTTGACAACGAACACTCTGTCGTAACGGCGACTGGGGGGCTGGAGCAGGGAGCCTGAGCTCCGGCGAAGGGGGTTTGACTTGCCCCCCTTTGCGCCTTGAGCCGGTTTCCCTCCCCCTTTTCCTCCTTTTCCCCCTCGGTCGTCTTCTACGCCTGACCCAAAAGCAGCAGGGGGACGCAGCGAGCAGTCAGCGCACAGGCCTCCAGAGCAGAGCGGGCGCGAGGACGGTGGTCCCTCTGTCGTTTTGCGCGCCCCGGAGCTATCGACCCCGTCCCCAGGAGGCTCTTCTTCTGCCTCGTCGGTGCTGTGGGGTGTCTTGACGGCGCCGCTCGTGGAGGGAGCTCTGCACCTTCCAGCTGGTGCGTGGTCGTTTTTTTGGGGGGGGCCCTGGAGCTCTTTGATCCCGTCCCAGTCGGCAGGGTGCGCTGGTGCGTGGTCGTTTGTCGTGGGCCCTGGAGCTCTTTGACCCCGTCCCATCGACCAGGTGCTCTCGGCATCTTGGTTGCGCCAGGAGGTCTGGACCCGATCCCTGTTGGCAGGTGTCCTCACACCCGGAGAGAGCAGGCATCTTGTGGTCTGCACGGCAGGGTCCGTAGCCATCTGGGCTCAGGTGGCTCACAGGGTGTTGCACGGAAACTTTCTGCTTCAGATCCCCCACAGGCGACCCATGGCGGAGGTGACGTTGAACAGCTTCCTCAAGTCAGTGGACGCCAAGGAGCCGACGCCCGAGGTGCTGAGGGCGACAGAGACGTACTTCACGGACAATGGGGTGTCTGAGCCGGGCCAGTTAGTTGGCCTGAAAGAGAGTGACGTGAAACCAGACTTATCCCTACCAGTGCTAGGCTTAGCTCGACGAGTGATTCGCCTGGCAAACCCAGAGAAGCAGAGCAGTGGTGCCTCATCAGCACCTGCTGCATCTGTTCTCACCCCGCAGACCCAGCAATCACTCCCCCAAGCCATGCAGCAGGACGTCCTGGACATGGTTGGGCCCGAGTATTCTGCCGAGGTGGTGGCCAAGCTTTTAGCAGTAGCGCCTGAACAGGTGAATGCTGCAGACAAGCTGGCAAAAGCGGGTCTCGAGGGACTCCCGTTCCACATGCAGGCAGAGGAGCTGGTGTGGCGGGTTTTGCACGCAGAGAACGCTGCCGCTGAAAAGGACCAGCGGAAATCGTTCTCGTACATAGACCTGACGGCCAAAGAGGTATTGCCACTGTGGCTTCCTTCGGATACAATCGGAGGGAAAGCGCTCACGGGAGGCGAATGGGGTACACCGCTTGACCCGTCGACCTCTGTCGCGACGCTTGGCCAAGTCACCAGTGCCTTGCGGAGTGCTACAGCAACCCGCCGGTTCTTCAGGTCCTTCGTGCAGTGGACAACAGCGTTTGACAGGTACGCAGTGGCAGCGGTGGCCACGAAACAGCTTACATGGGCAACCGTTGTGTGCTACAAGGACGAGTTGGCCAAGTTGGTGGAGCAGAACAAGTCCATCCAGCACAACCAGTTCTTAGTCATTTTATACGATGACCTGTTCCGGAGGCAGTTGGCAAAGAGAGCGTCCACGTCGGAGCCAGAGTTGGACATCCAGAAGGAGTTCCGCTACATTGACAAGAATATCTTGGAAGCGGCCGCCTTGCGCTTGGACGCCGTGCTCGCGCAGGCGGGCCTGAGGTCGGCGTGCGGGCCCTCGTCGCCATCTGGACTTGCAGCCCCGTTGCCGGCATCCCTTGAGTCAGTCATGGCAAAGCAGCGCGCGGCGGCCGACGCCATCCAGCAGAGGACGGAGCAGGCCAGCAAAACCTTCGCGCAGCACCAGCAGCAGATCAACCAGGCGAAGCAGCAGCACGCGTGGTTGCAGAAGCAGCAGGCCGATTCGAAGGGCGGCAAAGGCGGCGGCGGGAAGAAAGGAGGCGACAACACGAACTGGCAGTGGGTCGAGGGCGAGGGGTACGTCAGCAACAAGCGCAAGAAGTTCCACGACTTCAAGAGCAGCAAGAAGAAGGGGGGCAAGGGCGATGCACGGTGACTATCTTCTGAAGACTCAGACGATTCAGAAGGTAGCAGTGGAGGCGCTATTGCTTTACCTAGACAGAGAGAGTTGCTGGCTGACCCTGAGAATCCTTTTGTACCCAGTGGTCTCGGTGCCCCCAAGGGGCTCTCAGTCTTGGAGCATATCGCATTCGCACTCGGAGCACGGCACCCGGACGAAGAGGTTGCCTTGCACGGCGCTCTCAATGAGAAAGTTCGTTTAGCTTTGGATTGGGAGAGCGAGTGCGAAGCAGCAGATATTGACACTTTCCGCCTGGCGGTGTTCAGGGAACTTGAACATCGGGCGGCCCGCTGTGCTCGTGATCACCTGCACGGAGAACGGCCGAATATTTTGAGTAATCCTGTGGCCAAGCGACTGAATTATTCGTTGTTTCACTCATTGTTTACTGAGTGGAATTATAGAGAACTGGACCCATCTTTAATGGATGATCTGTGTGGCTTCCCGTTAATCGGACAACTCCCATGCTGCGGCCCGGACACGAGGCCAGACGGCAAGCCCACCTGGAACCCCGTAGGGGTAGACCAGTTGAGGCGGGAGCGCATTGAAAGGAACATGAGAATCATAGACCAGATGCGACCCAGCGAGTGGGACGACGACATCATGCAACTTACCCAGGAGGACGCTCGAGAAGGGTTTTGTTCGTGCCCTCAACTCTTGTCGTTTGACATAGTGCAGTCAAAGACCCTAGCGAGGCGTTTTCCCGTGAGGGAAGAGCGCCCGAAAGGGTGGCGCACTAGACCAATAGATGACGAGACGGAAGGAGGGCAGAACAAGGCAACATTCATGCCTGACAGAGCCAAGCACGATGGCATTGAGGAGTTGGTTACGGCAGTGCTTTATTTTCTTCGTCATCATGCGGAACCTCGGCTCTGGAAGCGCGATGTTTCCAAAGCGTACCGGCGTGTTCCAATAGCGAGCGACCACGAGGAATTCTCTTGGTTCGTGTTCACATAGAATGGCAACTTGTGGTGTGCTCGTCACTACGGCATGATGTTCGGAGCATCAGCTGCGAACGCAGCGTGGCACAGGTTGGGGAGCTTTATCCGGCACGTCGTCCTGGTCAGGTTCCGTGCTCCTCTTTTCCGTTGCGTCGATGATTTCTTTGGCGTGTCGCGGAGGGGGGTAGGGATAACAGGGGGCTGGTTGGTAACGGAGGTCCTTCGTTTGTTGGGGCTCGTTACAGATCCAGCCAAGGACGTGGACGATACTCTCGTGCTACCCGTTTTGGGTGCGGTAGTAGAGGTATATTTGGAAGATGGAACAGCGTCATCCACCGTAGCTCAGGACAAAGCACGGCGGTGGTTCAGGGACCTTGAATTTCAGCTTCAACTTGGATGTGCGCAGCCGCATGAAGCTATCCGTACTGCGGGTCGTTTAGGGTCAGCAATCACATCGTCCAGGTGCAAGGTAGGAAGGGCTTTCGTTAAGCCGTACTTCGCGCAGGCCTTCGCGCCTCTCCCGGGTATGCCACCATTGCTGAGGCGAGCAAATCTGTTCTGGCAGCACTACCTCGTCCTACCCAGAGGTCTCAAATCCTTGTATTACAAGCATCATCATCATCATCATTCATATTCTTATAACTTAAGCATACGTATATGTAATCTTAAATTTCAATCATCATCATTAAATATTATGAAAATATACAACTTCAATACAAAAAATGATTGCAACGCGTTATATGCTATAAACATACATACATTTATACATATATGTATATGTGTTTTGGAATCCTGGTGTGCCCCTCCACTTTCTCATCGTCGAGAGATAAACGCCGGTGTCGCCACCTAGGTTATCCCTGTGATGCTTTTTGTTGTTTTGTTATGGAATCCGATGTGCATTTCTATACGGACTGGGGACTGGGGCACCGCGTCTCCCTCCAACTTGCGAGACCCCCCACATCGGGAATGTATTATCTGACGTTCGCTCGTCTGTTCTTCTTTCGCAGCCTCAGCCGTTCGCGCTCGGGCGGAGCCCCCGCTGCCAGAGCTAGCGCTGGGGCGCCGAGTTCGGGGGCGATGGCGCCGAAGGCGCCACGTGGGATTCAGCGAATGTGAGGGATGGAGGAAAGAAGGAACGCTGAGAGGGAGGAAAGGTGGAGAGGAAGGAGGGAGAGATGAGGAAAGAAGGAGCACAGGGAGGAAGAGGATGGAGGCAATGAGGAGCACAAGGAACGCCGAAAACGCTTCACCTCCTCCTCCAACTTCTTCTCATCCTCCTCGTTCTCATCTTTCTCCTCCTCCTCCTCCCGCTCCTCCTCCTGCTCCTCATCTTCCTCGCATTTTTTGTTTCCTGGGGTAGAGGCGTCGAGGGGGGCGGCTGCAGAGCGTGAGGCGACGAGGAGGGTTCAGGGGCAACGCAGTTGGCGGAAGCCTCAGGCGCTGCGGGTTGCTGGCTTCAGCAACACGACCGCGCTGGCAGAATGCTGGGCGCAGTATTTCGAGGAGGCGACGGACCACGAGTACGGCGAGGTGGTCAGCGGCGCGGGCAGCGAGATCAACGTGGCGAACCTCAAGCGCTCGAAGTTGCTGATATCGGCGACTCGCGAGCTGGCGCCCAACAGCATGTCGCAAAAGGTCGCGAAGGCGCGAACGCACAGAGACAGAGGATGGCGGGAGATGAGGAGGAGGCGGAAAGTGGGAGGAGCAGGAGGGGGGAACAGGGAGGATGAATGATGGGGAAAGGGAGGAGGAAGAGGAATTACAATGATGATGAAGAGGATGGGATGAGGAAAGGAACGAGGAGGATCAGGTGGAAAGCTCAGGATGAAAGTATGGGCCAGTAGTTGACGAACCAGGAGCGAGGGAGCGCGCACTGGGGGGGGGCGGTGGCGGAGGAGGAAATGCCGATTGCGAAGGAGATAGAGAGAGAGGAGTAGAGGAGTAGAGGAGTACATAAGTGCAAGCACAACTGAGGGTGCATCGCAACGCTCGGAAGGGTCAGAGGATGACAGAGAGGAACACAACAAGGGAGAACGAGAAAGAGAGAGAGAGAGAGAGATAGAGAGAGAGAGAGAGAGAGCGCTTGGTGCTAGGCAGCGCTGCAGGAGGTTGCGAAGGGCAAGGAGGCGTCCTGGCACCTCGCGGCCCATCTCGACGCGTGGTCCGAGAGCAAGGGGAAGCAGATCAGAGCAATGCTGGCGCACGTCCAGAAGGGCGTGTCCAGCAAGACAGCGGGGGGGGAACATGAGGAACTTGAGAATTGCTAGCGGAGGAGAGGGAGGAAGGGAAGGAGAGACGAACTTTGGTTTGGTTAGCGTTGCTTTCTCATCGATGTTTCACTCATCAGCGTAAGTGCGAGGATGAGGACAGGCGGGTGTAGCTGATGAGGGAGAGGCACAGGCTGGAGGTGGAGGACGGGGAGAAGGATGAGCAAAGATAGAGGACGGGAGGAGGGGATGGCGGATGACTAATGGTAGACAAAGGAAGACGGGTTGTAGATGCAGCAGTGCGCCCGAGGAAGACTCCGAAGTGGGCGGTGGAGTTCATGGCGGCATCGGGAGCTGCTGCCGATGATGATGATGATGATGACGAGGGCGACGGAGAATCTGCAGGATCTGGCGATGAAGCTGGCCAGCCCGAGGAGCAGAAGGCCTCTCACGATGAGGCTGAGAGTGGCGACGAGGCCGGCGTGGGCGACGCGGCGGAGTCCGCGGAGGACACCAGCAAGTGCAAGGGCAGCGAGATGCCGAAGGCCGCGCAGAAGCGCCCGCTCGGCACGAAGGTCAGCACGCTGTCGCACCTGGAGATCGTGGACGGGTGGAAGCTGGGCTTCGACCAGGTCATGCAGGCACCAGGGGGATCAAGAGGAGGAGAATTTTCTTTGTCAGGAGAGGGTACGAGGAGGATGATCAAGAGGAGGAGGATCAGCTGTAAGAGTGAGGAGGATGAAGATCTGAAGGTCATGAGGTTGAGGAGTAGTGAGGAGTGAGTAGGGTGAGGAAGAGTGAGGAGCGATGAGGGCGAGGGGGGCAATGATGATGACGGTGGAAACATTTGAAAGGGATAACGACGAGCAGGAGGAGGTGGAGGAGGATCGAAGATGACGCTAAAACGGGCGAGAAGGGTGATGGGCGCACAGTGGAGGAGGATGTCAAAAATATACACTGCCCCTCCCCCCAGTCGGCGTGGCGCATGCTCGACGGGAGCAAGAGCGCCAAAGTGGAGTACGCGTTGGCCAAGAACGACGGCGACGACGACCAGGCCATCGCAGAGTGGCCCGACGGCATGCAGTGGAAGATCGTCGGCGTCAAGGGCAAGGACCTCGAGGCGCACGGCAAGGGAGGCGATTCGCTGGTTGCTGAAGCTAGGATGAGATCGGGCTCCAGGGTTTGGGTTACAGTGGTGACCAAGAAGGAGAAGACCTGGCTTGCGATGTGGAAGGACATGCCGAAGGACGAGAACAAAGGCAAGACGTTCTGCCAGGTCATGCAGCTGACCAAGTATCCTACCCTGGAGAAGGCGAAGGCGTTCATGACGAAGTGCTTGAACGCATACGTGTCCGACTTCAAGGACAAGGCCACCCTCGAGGAGTGGAAGCGCGAGTGGATCAAGAACGAGGTCTCCGAGGGTGCCCCTGCGATGAAGCGCCCTGCAGCGGCGACGAAGGTCAAATAGGGCTAGATCAGGAGGAGGATGGGGGAGGACGGGATAGCAGGAGGGAGGGATGGATAAACGATAGGGGGATGAGCGAGGAGGGGGAGGGGGGGGGCGGAGGAGAGCGGCGATGAGTAGGTAGGACAAGGAGTTGTGGTAGGAGGAGGGATCGGAGGAGCAGGAGGGGGCGGAGCAGTTCCCCTCGTGGGAGTCGCTTCGCAGAGGGCCACCAGTTCAAGCCCCTTCCTGCTTAGAAGAGTGGGGCCCGAAGGGCTTCGAATGTAGTCAGTCTGCACCTCCTCCTCCTCCTCCTCCTCCTCCTCCTCCTCCTCCTCCCAATCCTTCTCCTTCTCCTTCTCCTCCTGGCCCTCCCCCTCCTCCTCCTCCTCCTCCTCCTCCTCCTCCTCCTCCTCATCCTCCTCATCCTCCTCCTCGTCCTCGTCCTCCTCCTCCTCCTCCTCCTCCTCCTCCTCCTCCTCCCCCCTCCTCCACAACTCCTCCTGGCTCTTCCTCCGTCGTTTTGGCAATCGTTCAGCCCGCAGGCAGCGGGCGACACGGCGCCCGAGCGCGCCGAGGTGGCACCGAGCGACCAGCTGGCCAAGGAGGTGGCGACGAGCACGCCGCTGGCCGAGGTGGCGACGAGCGACCAGCTGGCCGAGGAGGTGGCGACGAGCACACAGCTGGCCGAGGAGGTGGCGACGAGCACAAAGCTGGCCGAGGAGGTGGCGACGAGCACACAGCTGGCCGAGGTGGCGACGAGCACACAGCTGGCCGGCGTGAAGCGGAGCAAAAAACAGAAGCACAGCAACGACGGCGACGACTTCACGCCAGCCAAGGTCCAGAAGAAGGAGACGAGCGGCAAGGCACGCTCGTGGGGTATGCATAGCACTGTTAAGAGAGTGGTAGGTTCCCGATGGTGTTCACAATGTGAGGCGTGTCACGCGTTGGAACCCCGTTGGAAAATCATTGGAATTCGTTGGAATTCCAAACCGTTTGAATGTTGGAATTCGTTGGAATTCGTTGGAATCCCGTTGGAATTCGAGAAACATCAGGGGACCTAGGACCGCACGCATCAGACATATATCAGGCAAGAGTGGGCAGTTAAGGATGGGATGAGGCGGATGAACGACCAGGAGGGTTGAAAGGATAGTAGGGGACTGGAGGAGGAAGGTGTGAGAGGAAGGAGCGGGGCAAGGAATTAAGCAAATAGAGAATCACAGGATGAGCATCACGATAACGTGCGACAGCAAATGTTGACGACGGCGGCTGGGATCGGCAGCAACGGCAGCAGTCGGTAGCATCGGCACGATGGATGGTAGCGGCGACAGAAGGGCACACGGAGACACATTGTATTCGGGGGGGGGCAGACGGTCATCATCGACAACAAGGTTCAGAAGGACAACAGCAGCCACGAGCCGCCCATGCCGTTCGGCCTGTTTGACACCTTCGGTATCTGATGAGGACCCTGCGATTAGCTCTCTCTTGCATGCCTCTTGCCAGCGTTCACTTGCCCAGCGGGCTCGCTGTGCCATTTCTTCCTCCTCCCCCTCTTCTCCTCCTCCTCTATCCTGTTCCTCCTCCTTCCCCCCCTCCTCAGCCTACTGGTACCACTTTGCCATCGTCCTTCTCTTCCCCCTCCGCGCCCCAGATTTCGTAATGAAAGGGAGGGGGCCTGGACCCTCGAAGACAATCCATTTCAGACCTCCCCCATGGGAGAACCCTCCAAGACATCGTCCCCAGACCACCCAGGCCCTCCAAGATAGCCTGGAAGAGACCCCCCCCCGAAATGAGAACCCCCTCACTTTATTACGAAATCTGGAGTACCCTTCCCCCCCCCCCCACCCCACACACTGCTTTCAAGACGCCCGCTCCCGTTGTGCAGATTACCGCTGCTACTGCGCAATCGCTTCTCCTCCCCAGCCCCGACCTACCCGACATTCTCGCCTCGCCCACCCCCTACCTCTGGTAGCCGCCCCATATCTCTGCTCATCGCCCCTGCTTTTCTGCGCAATTCCTTGGCCACCATGCCCTCCGCCTCTCCGCCTCGGCGACGCCGAAGTGATCATCGAAGCCCCGTTCAGATCTATCGCCCCGTCACCCCCTTAAATGATACTGGGGGGCGGCGTCGCTCCGACAGGAACCTCGAATGGGCGAACATGTCGTTGTCGTGGCCTCGGGGGGGCAGGTCGCGGCTCTCGCCCCCGCTCTCTCTCGATGGTCGTCTCTACTTACCTCATCTCCATCCTCATCGTCCGCCCTCCTTTACTTCCATTATCGCAATATCACCGCTCCGCTTGATCACGCCACTCCCCCTTACCCCCAACAGCGCATTGTGTTCTACCGCAGCCGTTTTGGCTTGGGGCGCCTCGCATGCCAGGCTGCCTGCGCAAGTCTTTCTCTGCGCCGAACCCGAGACTGTTCTGGGCCAGCCCAATCGGCAGGAGTTTGCTGCCGAAGAAGGGCGCGACGCGCTCGATGGCATCGCAGCCGGCAGACGCGGCCACATTGCCAGAGTCAGGCGTGCCAGACTTCCCGAGGGCGGAGGGCGCAGCCGCGGCGGAGACGCTCTTGGAGGCGAGGGAGGCACGCATCAGCACGCAGCGAGCTGGGCGCGAGCAGCAGAGATCGCAGGACGCTGGCACGCTGGAGCCAGCGGTGGCGCAGCATATGAAGGACGAGGAGGAGAGCAGCGACGAGGAGGACGAACGCCAGGAGGAGCGACCCGATTGTGACGGCGAAGACGGCGACGACAAGGGCATGCGCGACAAGGGCATGCCTCCTGCAGAGCACGACGAACAGGAGGATCAGCCATCTCCAACGGATTCAGCGCCAGAGACTGTGGCAGGCAATCCGCGTGAGCTGGGTGAACATCCTGGCGCTGACAACGACGACGACGCGGGCGACGGCGAGATCCCAGCTGGACAACCTGAGCCCGCAGACGAGGACATGGAGAAGGCAATGAGGGAGAGCCAGGCGGAATTCGACATCGCGCTGCAGCAGAAGCGCAAGGAGCTCGAAGACATCGAGGCCGCGATCGCGCGCAGCAAGGAGACCTACACGCAGAGCCGCGGCCGCTCGCCTTCGCCAATTGGCTTGTGCAGCGGTGCGTCGTCCAGCAGGATCGGCGCCCCGGCTGACGTTCAGGCCCACAAGGGAAGTAAACGTCTTACCCGAGCCCAAACAGTTTAGTCTTAGAAGCCCCACCCTCCCTTCCTCCGCCTCCTCCTCCTCGTCCCTGCTCCTCCCTCCTCCTCCTCCATCCTCCTCCCTCCTCCCTTATCCTCCTCCGTCCTTGCCGCGCCTCCTCCCCCCTCCCTCCTCATTCCTCCCTCCCTCATCCTTCTCTGCCTCATCCTTCTACTCCTCCTCCGTCTCCCCCCCAATTGCCCCGAACATTATCGCGCGCGCTTCCCCCGTGGAGAGGCTGGCCCGCGCAGACGCAAGCCGCCGCCCGCCGAGCAGCCAGTGGAGCCGCCCAGGCAGCGGCGCAGGGTTGAGGCAGAGGCGCCTGCGGCGCGTGCCACCAGCGCTCCTGCAGCGCCGAGAGCGGAACAACGAGGGCTGAACATCACCCAAGACCCCACCCCGAGGAAAGATGAAGGAAGGGGGGGGAAGGAGTGACGGAGGGAGAACGAAGGAGGAAAGAAGGCGGTAAGAAGGAGGGAGGACTGAGACAAAAAGGAGGGATGGCGGAGGCGGGACGGAGGAAGGACACAGAGGGGCGCGGAGAGCACCTGGTCAGTCGTCCCCGCAGGATTGCTACGACAGCGATCCCCCGCCAAGACCGTTTGTGTATTCAGATAAACACTTGTACTATAGTCCATGGCAAGGACCTCTGAATACTCGCCATGGGAGGAGATATATACAGATGGCGAAACGTGATTTCATTATCAAGTACGCCTTGTGGAATGAGCGCCAGGAGCCCCAGGCGCTCCTGGCGAACAAATAGTCCTGTCTCTTGTCGTCGCGTCTTCGTGATCCTGGTCGTGGTTTAATTGTCGTCGTTCAGATCGCCGTCGGAACAACGGCCGTCAACGTCGTCAGCGTCGGCGTCAGAGAAGCAGTTCGGGGGCAGCCTGGCTCGGGCACTCGTCGTAGCATCTGATGTCGCTCACCCCCTGAGCGCGGGCAGGGCGGGGAGGAGGAGGAGACGCAGGAGGAGTAGGAGGAGGGGCAGGGGGAAGAGGAGGAGGGCGAGGAGGAGGAGTAGGACTAGGAGTAGGAGGAGGAGGACGAGGAAGAGGAGGAGTATGATGGCGAAACTGCGCGGTCCGCAGGCAGCCGTCAACATCGCCGAGCAGGAGATCACGCAGAGCCCAGTGACTCCGCAGGTTGCGGTGCAGACTCGCGGGGCGCAGCACGCAAGTGCAACGGACTCCGACGACGCGCCGCTCATCCGCAAGGCTGGCGAGGATGTCACGCCGCCGAAGATCACCAAGAGGGCGGACGCCATGCAGAAGGCATTCGAGGACTTACCCTCCTTGATCTCTCTCGGGCCAACCCTTCTGCTCCTCATCCTCTTGTAACTCCTCCTCCACCTCATCCTCTTCGCCACCGCATTCCTTGTTCCTTATCCGCTTTCCCGTCTCCCTCCTGGTGGCCCCCCCAACCGATCCACCTCCACCTCCTCCTCCTCGTCCCCTCCCCTGCCCCCCCTCCCCTCCCATTCCTCCCTCTCCTCCATTCCCACTCTCTCTCTCACACTCTCTCTCTTTCTCTTTCTCTCTCTTTGTCCTCCTCCGTCGTCCTCCTACTCCCGCTCCAGCTCGGAGGACGTGATCAAGCAGCCGGGCAAGCTGACGGATGACCAGGAGCTGGAGCTCACAGAGAGGTTGGCGCAGGCCTTTCAATCGGGCTCCTTCGACGGCATCCTTGAGGCGAAGGGATGGAGCCGCCAGAGCGCGGCCAAATGGCCGACCAATCCCGAGGAGTTCGGCCCATCGCTTCTCGGGAACACGAGCAACTCGGCGGAGTTCGACTTCTGGGACACCCTCCGCAAGGAGTCGAACTTCAAGTTCGGCTTGGATGGCGGGAAGGGCAACCCCGCCGCGGGGCGCTGGCAAAGAGCCTTGGACGAGGAGAAGGACAAGGACGGCAGGACGCTGCGCGAGCGGTGCAACGCCGTCACTGGCCACGCCAAGAAGCAGGCGTTCCGCACGGAGTGGGCCAAGACGAAGCACCTCGAGGCGAAGACGGAGTACTCGCTCATCGTCTCGGAGACCAGGGAGATGTGGAAGAAGTCCACCTACCTCCCGATCGGGCGCATCGCCCACTTGGAGGGCGGTGGCAAAGCGGGCTGGCTGCAGGCGCGTAGTTCCTCCCCCTCATCCGCTTCGTCCTCCTGGTCCTCCTCATCCTCCTCCTTTTCCTCCTCCTTGTTCTCCTCCTCCTTGAGAGGCTAGCAAATACGTATGGAAGACGATGTTCATGGGCCCGCCGTGGATCGTGTACGACGAGATGACGGAGAGTCTGAGGTCGCTCTACGTGGAGCAGGGCTTGACAGAGACGTTCTCCGAGTGCTGGCAGAAGCACGCGCGTTGGCTCGAGAACCTGGAGGATAGCCCTAGAGTAAACTGGCTAGATGAGGACACCCAGGAGGGCCAAGAAATGGCAAGGAGGAGGAGGAGGAGGAGGAGGAGGAGGAGGAGGAGGAGGGAGGGAGGAGAAAGCAGGATAATCAGGGAGCAGGAAGAGGAGGATGAGGACACTTAGCAGGAGTAGGAATAGCAACACGAGGGCAAGGGCGAGGAGGAGATGGAGGGGATGAAAAAGAGGAGGACGAACATGAAAACGATGCGGGGAAGCGGAGGAGGAGGAGGAGGAGGAGGAGGAGAAGGAGGAGGAGAAGGAGGCAGAGAAACAGGAGGACGCCGAATGGAGCGGAGGAGGAGGAAGATGATGGGAGAGGAGGAGGGCGAGGGGGAAGTGGAGGATGCCCGCCGCAGGAGCCTCGCACCGCCCTGGCGCCCAGCGTCACGAAGGCGGTCGCGGAGGGGTCCGCGGCCTCCAGCGGGGCGGGCGCTGGCCAGGGCAAGGCTTCTCTTCCTCTGCCTCCCCCTCCTCCTCCTCCTCCTCCACCTCCTCCTCCTCCTCCTCTTCTCCTCCTATCCCGCCTGCACTTCCTCATCTTCCCCATCTTCCTCCCTCGTCGACCCTGCACCTCCTTATCTTTCTCCATTGCACCTTAATCGCGTTCCTCCTATGTCAAACCTTCTATCCTCATATGCCATCCCCCTTATCCTGCTAGCTCTGTGTACCAACCTCCTCATCGTATATGTCCTTCCTCCTCCTTCTCCTCCGCCCCCACCTCCTCCTCATCCTCCTGATAATGTGTTATCGGCCGTTCTTTTTTTCAGGCTGCAGCCCCAGCGGCGCCAGCTGCGGCGGAGACCTCCGAGGAGGCTGGCGGCGCGGCGCCTGCGGCCGCAGGGAGGGCTGCTGGCGCGGCGCCAGCGGCAGCAAGGAGGGCTGCTGGCGCAAAGGAGGCCGCAGGGAGGGCTGCTGGCGCGAAGGCTGCTGCCGGAGGCGGCGGAGACAAGGAGAAGAGCGATATCGACAAGAAGATCGTCGAGACGAAGAAGGTCATCGCGCTGTACAATGCCGCCCTGACCAACTCACGCTCGGTGCTGACGAACATTGAGAAGGATCCAGATTGGTCCTGGGCGAAGGAGTCCAACCAGAAGGCGCCGCTCATTGACGCGATCGCTCTTCTCGAGGACAAGGTCTACGCCGACTGCAACGTCTCCAAGGTGCTCACGACTAGCCTGCCGAAGCTCCGCGTCGTGACCAACAACGACTTGCGCTTCGCAGGCTTCCTGGAGCAGGCGTGCAAGCTGCAGCAGTACATGGAGAAGGTGAACGAGGAGACCAGCTGCCTGCTGGGATTCCACGAGGTGAAGCGCAAGGCGGCCATCGCCAAGACGGCCTCAGGTTCGGACGTGGCTCCGAAGAAGAAGAAAGCCAGGAAGCAGACAGGCTCTGGCTAGTGAGTGATGTCATCAGCAGTGCTTCGTAATAATTCGGGCTTGGTGAATGAGGTCAATTCTCATTCTGACCTTCTCAGCCCAGCTGGCTAGAGCGCGTGAGAACATTCGTTTGCTCAAGGGCACAGTAATCCAACAATTATTTGTATGAAATCAACTTTTTGGCGTTTTGATCACACAATCACTCTGGTTTCCAACAAAAAACACCTACAATCACATATGTACCGCTTAAAAATCAAGCCGGACCGGCTCGACCCGATTTAAGCCGGCCCCGGTCGCGTTGGAATTGCGTTGGAATTCCGTTGGAATCCAGCGTTGGAATTTCGTTGGAATCATATTTTTTATCGTAATGTCTCCGGCGAACGCCGTTGGAATTTGAAAACAAGCGCGTTGGAAGTCCGTTGGAATTCCGTTGGAATTTGCTGAGACGTTTCAAACACAATTTCTGACGTCTTGTAAGTACATCGCTCTGCCGGCTGAGCTATATACACTTTGCATAGCCCGACATTTTCACGTCTCGCAAGATCTCATGTGTGACAGCGACTACTGTCGCCTGCATGGTCGTATTGGCCGTGGTCGTTCACGACAGTACGCTTGCGATTTGCCAGCTGTATGCGAAGTTGGCAGGGAGGAGTAGGTAGCTGGAGAGTGCAAGCACACACGAAAGCTCAACAGATATGCCATGTGCCAACATGAACGCACTTGCACATCCCAGCACGCCTCAGTATGGCATCATTTCAATCCTCCCCTGCCCTGGCCAGCCGACGGGGCGCCTCGCTGTGCACCAGCGCGAGCATGGCTGCCTGGCATGAGGGGGGAAGATGTGCAACATACAATCGTTCGACGTTTGAGCTCTCATCGCATCCCGCGAAATAAGATGGTGCCTCGAAGAGCTCACCCATCAAAGTTCGCAAGTTATGTCTCCCACGCTGCAGCGCCCACCATCACCTGGACCCGTACTGTTGTTCTTGCATCCCTTCCCCGCTCATGGCCATCCCTCGTCTGCGGTGCGCGCACGGTGCACGGCTGAATCTATCGATGCTCTCATCGCCGACTGTGAACGATGGGGGTCTCACGGCAGCCGACTGCGAAGATGAGAATGTTGAGGAAGAATGCGATGATGATGATGATGATGATGAGGAGGAGGAGGAGAATGATGCCTTGAATGAGTAGGATGTGAAGGGGGGGGAGAAGGAGGAAGATAACGATGGACAACGACACCGCCTGGGATGGGCACGCGAGGCAGCCTGGGATGAGGATGACAAGGATGAGGACGAGGACTATAATGTGTAGGAGGATAAGGGGGGGCGTGGATGAGAAGAGCGATGAGGAGGAGAAGGACGATAACACAAAGGAATAACGCAGATGGGAAATGATGAGGAGGACGAGGTGGAAAGAAGGAAGAGATTACGACTGTTGAAGCACTCCCTTGCCGCTTGTCCAACCTTCTCCCATGCGCCGCCGCCAGGACGACTGGCGTCGACCTGCTGGCAATGCAGCGCGGAGACATCTCCGTGCTAGGCGCGTTTGCGGCGCCCGCCCTCCTTCGCTTTTCAGGGGGCTCCACTGATGCGTCGGACCACGGAAGGGGCGCACCGACAACCCCAAACGCCCCTGGCCCCCCCGCTTCCCTACTCCAGATTTCGTAATACAGTGAGGGGGGTCTCATTTCGGGGGGGGGGTCTATTCCAGACTATCTTGGAGGGCCTGGGAGGTCTGGAGACGATGTGTTGGAGGGTTCTCCCACGGGGGAGGTCTGCCATGGCTTGTCTTGGAGGGTCCAGACCCCCCGTTTCATTGCGAAATCTGGAGTAACCCACTTGCATCCGGCAACTGCACCCCCTCTCTCGCTCGCCTCTCCTCGTCAGTCCCTCCGCCTCTCGCCATCCAATCCATCGTCTCTCCTCTCGCCCCCACCCGCCCCTCAATCCCAACCCAGTCAGCAAGCAAACCATCGGCCTTGAAATGTACTCGAAGATGCCGGTCGCCCGCAGCGCCTCCACTCACTCCTGAAACACGGGGGGCAATTGGGGCGATGAGAAACGGGCTCAGGGTCTAAGGAAGGAAGGGGGCGAGAGGAGAAGGGAGGGAGCGGTCTGAGTTTCATTTCGGTGGAGCCTCCGAAAGCGTCGGTCCAGCGGAGAGGGCTTGGCCTAATTGCGCGGCCCAGTGGCACATGCTACGTGCGAAGTCTTCATTGTGAAGACAGAGGGGTCGCGCGAGCCCACTGGCCTGAATATCCTTAGGCCATGTAGCAATGCCGCGGAACCCAGGGACCATGATTCGGCGGAGTTGGAGACGTTGTCAGCGGCCGCGGGCCCCCCTGGGACCCTGGGGGCACGCTTCGGAGATCAACCCATCATGTGACACGGGGGCATTCGATTCTACCTCTGCGGCATTGCGTGATGCTGGTGCCCAGGCGCGTGCTACAGGCGATGCTTCACGTCCTAGGTGAGCAGTTGAGGAGCGCGTCGGCAACTAGTAAAGAGGGATGGGCTGCAAGTTGCACATGTTGTGCCATTGCAGCCGCTGGCAACGTGTTGACATTGCAACACGCCGTGATCGGAGAGGGTGGGTGTGGGCATGCAGTCGCGTGTAAAACTTCACGTTGCATGCGTTGGGCATTCCTTGGGACGCGTGCGTGCTTTGTTGAAAACCGCAGGAGCACATGTTTGAAATCATTGGCACGGGGTGTCTTACCTCGTGGGTTTTGAGGTTTCTTGAGCCAAGGGTGAGAAGTTGCCGACGTTGCCCTCTCTTTTCGCAGTTTCAAGGGGAAACGGTGTATGTTGAATTCGATCGGTGCCTCATCAGTTGCAAGCGGCAGCACCGATGTTCTGTCGCCCTTGGATCGCAAACCATGCCCTGATGAGATCAGCCCGCGCTCAGGTCTGCTGGGCGATGTCAAGTTTATCAGCTAATGAAAGGGGGGGGCAACAATAACAGTGTGTAGAGCAACATAGAACCTGCAGCCGTACCCAGTCGAACAGCTGGCCTGTCATGTGAATCGTCCCAGTGGCAGCGTTTGCAATCCAATGGCGCCGCCAGCATGGCAGGCGACCACGGCCTCGCAACGCCAAGGCGGGGCTGATTTATTGAAGCACTTGCTCAAGCTGTACTCCTCGTGCAGGATAACAGCGCAGCAATTTTCGGTGGCGTGTTTTTTCTGCAAGGAGGCCTGTGTACCTGGTGCTAATGTCGAGCAATATGCTCGGCCAGAAGGTTTGCAATCAGGGAAGTACCGAGCCCATCTCGATAAACATTTACCGCAACCAGGGCATTTGTATTTTACTCAGGTGCCGCAAAACGTCAACAACGCACCGCTGCGGACGATTCAAAATATTCCTACGAAGCTTGGGTATGAAGCAATACAGGACGAGCTCAGAGAGAACCCAGACATCCGCAGAACTTTGCAAGCAGAACCTCACGACCGAACAGAAAACGTTACAGATCTTGTAGCTTATAAGACGCACCCATTGGTAATAGCAGCCGAAGCTGAGAATAGGCAGAGGCCCCTCCCACTGGGAATCTATGTTGACGGCGTTTCATACAAACAGCAAGCATCGGGGCGATCAGACACGGTGGCTGGGTATTGGCTGATAAACTTGATATCTTCCAAACGGTACCTGGTATGCGCCCTGCGTCACAGCGACGAGTGCGATTGCGGCTGTCGGGGATGGTGCTCGACGTTTCCAGTTTTATCTTGCTTGCGCTGGCAACTTGCGAGCATGGCTCGCGGTGTCAGGCCAGACCGCATGCGCGACGGGGGTCCATGGCCTCGGGGACAAGGGCCTTCCCCCGACAACAGGCAACTAGATTACTCAGCAGTTCTTCTGTTTGTAAAGGGTGATTGGTGCGAACACTCGAAAACTTTAGGGTTGGCAAGTTGGGCCCAAAATGATAATTGTTGCCAATTCTGTGAATTGAGCAAAAATGAATTGCACGGCGCTTGTCATTGCATGTCTGACGACGGGGAACAAGGGTGGCCGTTGAGACGCCATGGCGATTACGAAACAGCTGTCGGTCAATGTGAAATAGTTGTCCGAATTACAGCCAAAGAACAATTAGACAAACTGAATGCGTCACTCCGATGGTTTACCAAAAAAAAGGTTATCAATCGTACTGGCTGTCGCAGCAGATCAATCTTCAGTGACGTTGAAATTGGAGGGACTAATCTCATTGTTGGGGACAGGCTGGAGCCATCTGAGCAGTTGCATGACATCGCAGCGTTGTCGAGAGTGAAGCTCCCTGTCAGCATCAAGCTCTGGCGGACGAGACGAGGGGCGTCAGGAGCTCTTCTCGATAGTGTGCACCATCGCTGCCCAATATTCAGTATTGAGTTGTGTACCAGCCCTGCGCGAACATTAGCAATCGACGCAATGCATTGCTTGTACCTCGGAGTCATCATGAGATATGTATCGGCGTGTCTTTGGCGATTGTTGCTTGGAAATCCATGGGCTTTCTCAGGGAACGAGTCTCAAATTCAGGACTTGGCGCTTCGACAGATTTGGTGTGAATTAAGATCCTGGCAAGAGAAAAACGTGCCGAACAACAACCGCCTCTCTGGATTGACAAGGAAAATGTTGGGAAGCAGCTGCGGGTGCACAACCGAGGACGCATTTGTTTTTAACAACGGCACCAACATCCAATACACACACACACACGAATGACGATACTTGAATGCCAATTGTCACCACGGCTGGCGCAGCTCGAATCTACGGGAGTGGCCCTGGGACGCCGTCGAGCGAATCCTGGTGCTCAGATAGGCGGGGGGTGGTTTGAGGGGCGGGGTCTGCATTGAAAGCAGCAGCGGCCTTCAGCAGCGCGAGCACCCAGGGGGGGACATGAGCCTCAAGGCAGCTGAATGTGGGGTTATGCTGAGGTTTGTGATGGACGCGATGGCTGCCCACGGTGGCGCAAACCGGTTTGGGGGGCCCGTGGTCGGAGCAGGTGTTGCCCTTGCATCATTTCTGGAAGTAATGAGGTCCGAGCCGAACGTCGTTTCTGAGAGGGGCTGTAAAATCATGAAAGAGCAGATGGACCTCCACATACGGTGCTGCAAACTGGCATCCATCAGCTTGACACCAAAGCATCATTTGTCGTGCCACCTCGCGGACAGGCCAGGGGGTTGAGCCAAAGCACCCTCTCCGTCTCATGCTCGTGTAAGCCCCCTTCCTCGCCTTCCTCCTTCCAATTGCTCTTCACCCTTCTTTAGCAGTTCCTCCTGGCACGTTTATCCTCGCCCGTCCTGCTCCTCCTGCCCCACCTCCTATGTAACTTCATGCCCGCATATCCCGTTCGCCGCCACCCCAACCCTACCCGCACCCGCCTGGCTGCCACCCATACCCTTTCCCTCCCCGCACTCCCCCCGACAGACCCGCTGTCTCACTATTCAATGTCTGATTCCTCTTGGGCGTCACATTCAGACAGGGGTCACAATTGGACCCCCAAGCTCCAGCTGCCCTCCGCCCGATGCAACTCTTACCCTGCATGACAAAATATCTCGCGCCTCTCCGTCTCGCCCTCACCGCCCGCCCCCCTCTGTCACAGTTCCTCCCCACCCAAATTGAAGAGGAGGAGGGCTCCTTGCTCGTTGTCGAAGCCCTTGCCCACCGATATGCAACACCCAGGGGCCCCCGATGGAGGCGACCAGCGCGCTGCGCGCACCCTGGTTTCCACGTGCGTCGAATTCGAGGTTTTGGGACGGGCACGAAACAAAACGACACCACATTTCAGGCATGACGGATGGAGCGAAAGGGTGAGGAGGAGCAGGAGGGGGGACACCAGAAGAGGATACGTTTTAAAATGAATGAATGTTTGGCCCGCGCCAGGGTGCAGTTCCACGGTTCCCCGAAAGTCTACAACTGCTTCGTGGACGAAAGCCTCAACATATTATTGCGTGACGTGTGTAAGTTTTGCCACCGAAGCACATTCGGGTTCAGGTGCCATTCGTTGTTGGAGCTCCAGGGGAAATTGGACATAGCAAAGTGGATTGGGTCTTCCGACTCATGGCTTCCGCTGGTGGCTGGTTGGCATTGACTCTAGTGGCATTGGCAGGTGCAGGGCGCCCTGATGACGCACGGTTCGCACCTGAATTCAGTACAGCAAAATATTGGGCCATCGTCACATCCCGCATGTTGATAGATAAGGGCATCCCTAGCGACCTCCGAGAGCCAGAGGACACGGCCCCCATGCTGACGGCGGCCGCTGCAGCGCTCTTCGATGTAGTTGAAGGCATACCTCGGACGACTACATTTCTGGAAATGTTTTCTGGCACTGGAGGCGTCACGCGTGAAGTCGTTGCAGTCCGCAACCTGGTGGGGTTTTGCTTTGACATCGAAGCCTTCGCCTACCAGGATGTGACGTCGCTGGTTGGAATGCTGTATGCAATGTTCGTGCTGGCATCTATCGCAGTGAATGGATCGGCGCATTTTGCGCCACAGTGTTCAACGTGGCTGAACATGACAATGTGGCACACCCAACGTCGCCGTGATAACGTTCTCGGTGACGACGCCCGCTCAGATGTTCGGGACGCCAACCACACGGCTGTCGTCGTGTCACCCAGGGTTGTTGGAAACCATATGGGGAGTGTTAAAGCGGTGCTGTGTTGCGCCCCTCGTCCCTTTAGCGTCGCTCGCCAGTGGCGATCTTGAAAATGAGAGATGGCTAGCGCGGTCCTGGCCACGACTCTCAATGAGGAATATTTGCGGCGACTATGGAGGAGGAGTGACAAAGAGAGAAGGATATGGGGGCGGCGGCGACGACTCCAACTGGTAGGGGTGATCTGTGGCGGGGTGGGTGGGAGGGGGTGGGTGCGGAACTTAGCATCAGACACCATCGCTGGTAATAGATTTAGAAAAGGCACCGTGAAACCGCCCATGCGCCCAAGCAAGGCGCCAACCAAACAGTGGCAAATCCGACAACAATGAGACGGGGCGGCAGGAGGAACTGGAGAGGATGGGATAGGAGAGCGGAGAGGGCCAGGAGGGATGGACGGGACTAGGACGATGAGGAGAAGGGAGAACTAATGAGTAATGCGGTAATGGGGGAAGCAACAGCTTTGTTGAGCGGACACCTTGAGCAGATTGGCCACCCTTCCCCCTTTGGGAGATCTGCGGGGCAAGCGTCAGCCATTCTCTACATTCGGGCACTCCGTAGCGCGCCCGCTGGCCCCCGATCGGAGGCAACTGACGTGGGGTTGGGGGGGGGGGGGTGGGCAACCGTTTAACCCTGCACCTCGACACTCCTAACTGTTCCCTCTGCGTCATCTGTTCCGTCCTACTCCTCCTATTGCCTTGCGCAGAATGTGTTCAACTCTAGTTTCCAAGAGGGGTCGAGGGTGTCCTGCGTGTCATTTGTTTGCGATGTGTGTTGTTTATGTTATGCCACTGCCCAGGTCGTGGATGCTCACCTTTGCGCACAGCCGCGGCGTCTTCTTCATGATAGAGCAACCGTTAGGTAGTCTGTTCTTTTCGCATGCGGCAGTGCAGTCCGCTCTGACAGTGTGCCGCGCTAAGCGCATTTACACTTGTTTCGGGGGATTCGGGTCCCCGTCTGTGAAACCAACGTGGCTTGTAAGCACTTTCTCGACGTCGTGCCTGGAGCTTTTCAAGAAATCAAAGCGTGATGTTCAGCCGCTGGCCACTACCCGTTTATTTGTGCATCAGAGGCGTGCTAAAGCGTCCAGGACTTCTGGCAAATGGAAAAAAACCGTTTGGGTTACTGGTGGCAAGCGCGGGATGAGGGCGTCTCAAGAGTACCCCCGTGGATTTTGCGTGGCGCTTGCAAACGCAGTTGCCACCAACGCTGGCGGCGCGGGCCACTAGCTCTATTTCTGACGCGTGCCCGCAAGGAGACCAACATTGATTTGAGAGCACGAGCATATGTATTCGACACGAACAGCGGGCACGCCGTGCTTGAGCACGTTGGACTGTTTTGCCGAGCGCTGTTCTCGATCACCCCTCTTCTCCTTCACTTCATCATCTTCCCTCCACCCACCCCCTACTTGTCAACCTCCTCTCCTATTTGTGTTTTCTTCTCCCTGCTCCGCCCCCTGCTTCACCTCGCAGCTCGGACTATGTTTCAAGTCTCGGATCAGTTCTGCCGGGCGATCGCCTGGCGCATCGCACCGCTGGCACTCAGCGCATGCGACGTCTCTATCTAGGTGTTTCGTTTCGCCTCTGACGGCGCTGCGACGGCAGGGATAATCGACGTGAGGCAATGCAAATCAATGCAACTACCAGGTGGGCTTGAGCATCGCGAGGGCTCAGTTGTTTTTTTACCTCGGGTGCTTCCACCACGTCGAACCAGACTGGCGTTGGAATTTCGTTGGAATATCGTTGGAATCCGTTGGAATTGTTTCTGCTAGCGCAAGGGGTGGAAACGTCACTCGATGGGAATGCACAGCGAGCATGGCGCAGAACACATCGAACACGAACATGCGGCACCGTCGACGACGACGAGAACATAACATGTAAGCACACATCTTCTCTCAGCGCTCTGACCTACATCCCTATTTGTGCCCGTCGCTCTATTCCGAGCTACTTCAATCGATGCACAGTGCTAGCGCAGCTCTCGCCCAAGTTTGCCTTTGCACTCAATTCGCGCCAATGCGCGCAACGCGCGAGCACTTCTTGTTTGTATGCACGTGTGGAAACACGTCGCTTTGGCGCAGCAGGCGGACTACGCGCAACTCCGTTGCATGCATGGCATCTGCAATTGAAAAGGGGGGGGGGCGTGCGGACGGTCAATCGACAACGTTTGTCGATTGGGCAATCTGCCAATCCAAGGGAATCGGGGCACACAATCTGAGAGGAACTGCACGTGCGAGAAACCGCAACGACAGACAACCATGAGAGGCCACAGGGGAAATAACATGAGTGGTGTGGAAATCCAATTTCGCCGCCGCCCAAGTTCAGGCTCGACAGGGCTTCGGATTCCGTTTCCCCCCTCCTCATCTTCTCTCGCTTTCGCCCCCTGCCCATCTTCCCTTTCCCGTGCTTCAAGCTGAAACGCGACGAGGCGGGAAATTGCCGTTGCGTCGGGCCCCCGAGTCGAGCATCGCACCCGATCCTTCCCGCGATGGCGCCGCCGAAACGCGAACTTCGAGTTCGGGTCTAAACCGCCCATAGGTTGAGGATTCGGATCCCCCCCCGACCCCCCAGAGATGGCGCCGCTGAAACGCTGCCTTCGGGATCGGGTCTAGACCGCCAAGCGGTCATTGCCGTGGGCGAGAGCGAAGTCTATGACGTTCTTTCGATGGGGGGCCCAACCGAGGAGCTGGACTGTAGAGACATAAGCTCAGACGCAAGACCCTGGTGAGCTCCGCGCATATTCGTCGGAAGAGCCAGCATGCCTCTCAGAGGCGGCGAGGGTTCGGCGGGATGCGAAGCTAGAAGCCCGTAAGCAGGCGAACGGCGTTGCATGTAGTATCGCTTTCGCTCGCAAGCTAAACGCGCAACCCCCCTTTTGAAGGCCGCGGGTTCGCGTCGCTCTCGCCGCTGCGGACTTGCAAAGCGCTGCGAGACGAAACGAAGCTGAGGCAACGAAACCGAGGGGTTGCACGTTTAGCGCGACTGTTGTTCCTCCCGCAGTCCCCCCCCCCCCCCCCCCCCCCCGTGGCAACAAGGAGCGCAATCGGATCATGGCGCAGTCCAAACGCGAGCAACATAATGAAAAGAGCGATACTCATGGTATGAACCGCGGCGCCTGCTTTGCATCCTGCCACCCGCTCCGCCTACCCCTTGATACCTTAGCTGCCCTGTCTGACCAGATGCTCGGACTCGCGCCAAGAAGGGGCGGGCAGGCCGAGTGCTGAAGGAAAGAAAGCGGGGGCTGCTGTTCAACACCTTGACCTGAAGCCCTTCATTCCCGTGGTTCCAGGAACCCCACATCAGAGCCGAAGCCTAGGTCCCTCGCACCCCCGCCGCGCCGTGCAACGCGCTTTGCGTTGCAAGGCTCGGACCTGCCCCCACCCGAGAAATGAGAAATGTCTGGTTGATTGATTGTGCGGATTGTGTCGCTTGCGTAAAGCTTGCCGAAACCCGAAACCATTGCCGCCCGAAACCATTGCAACGCGCCCTCGCGCGCGCAATTTCAAATTGGATGTGTAGGAAGAGGAACAAACGGATCAGGGAGAACACGCGGAGATGAAGGGGGCCGACTGAGAGGAATGACGAGGAAAAGAAAATATGATGAGGATATAAAGAGGACCACGAAGATGAGGATGATAACGCATAAAGGGGTGGAGGGGGAGGAGGAGGAGGAGGAGGAGGAAGCAAACGAGGAGGAGGAGGAAGGTGAAGGGGGGGGAACTGGGAGAAGGAGGGGGGGAAGGATGAGAAGGAGAAGGAGGAGGAGGAGGAGGAGGAGGAGGAGGAAAGGGAAGGCACCTGTGAACTTCTGACACCCCCCCACGAAACGAAACTCGCAGGCGAATAATGTAAGAGGTCGCCGTTCAAGAAATAATATCGCAATTCCGTCTTATCGGCAACACCCCCCGCGCGGATCGCGCCCTCATTCTACGCGTCGGCATTTTGATTACGATAACATCATGCATCCTATCATTTTTTTTCTAAGTTTTGACATAGTTACGTGATAATCACTATTAGACAAAGTTACTAAAAATCGCATGCTTGTTATATAAGCATAACTAAACACACTACACATATGCTTGTGATTCAAGCATTCGAGACCTCTGGGTACGCCCTCTACATCGCCGGTTTGCGGAGGAGCTCTGGAGGCGCAGGGTCACGATGTTCACAGACGCGTCGGGGGAATCTCGGTGCATTGCTGCACTGGCAGCGCTCCATGAGCCAGGGGGCCACTGCACCTGGTTGTGGACGCGCGCCACAGTTCCTCCGCAGATCTGGGCTTTACTGCTGGACAGAGACGACAACCAGATAGGTTACCAAGAGCTCCTTGGTTTCGTTCTCGATTATCATAGCTTTGGCATCGCAGAAGCAATGGTCATGGAGTTCATTGACAACGATGGCGTACTCCATGCGCTGATCAACGGGAGCGGCCGCGCTCCAGAGTTGAATTTTGGCGTAGGAATGACATGGCTGGACATGGCATCCAGGGACATATCTCTCCAGTTAGGGAGAGTAGAATCGGAAGCGAATTTGGCAGATGGCCCATCTCGCAATGATCTTAGCATGATGCATCAGCTTTCAGCTAAGTTTGTAGAGCCAACCTTGCCCAAGTGGCTCCTGAACGCATGGGACTGGGACATTTTGCGACCGGCGGAAAATAATCATTATGGTTTCTTTCCTTTTGTGATCCGTCTGATTGAAACAGGAACAGTTGTTGCAATGGCTCTTCTGAGGCAGCGTTGGGGTCGGCAGCGTTGGGGGCAAGCGACCCCCGCTCATCGCAGCTGTGCGGAATTGCCCAACGAGAGTCCGCGGAGAGCGGGAGAAGAGAGGCTTGTAGTTGAGGGTAAGACTGAGGGGCGCGTGTTTCTGTGTGACAGAGTAAGACCGTTCAGGCACCTAAACAATCGTCTCGCGCGTGCTGCTGGGGTCAGAGAGTGAGCGAGGGCAGGTGAGTTTGGGCGGAAACCCAACTCGTTGGGTGCTTGCCCAAATGAGCTTGACAACGAACACTCTGTCGTAACGGCGACTGGGGGGCTGGAGCAGGGAGCCTGAGCTCCGGCGAAGGGGGTTTGACTTGCCCCCCTTTGCGCCTTGAGCCGGTTTCCCTCCCCCTTTTCCTCCTTTTCCCCCTCGGTCGTCTTCTACGCCTGACCCAAAAGCAGCAGGTGGACGTAGCGAGCAGTCAGCGCACAGGCCTCCAGAGCAGAGCGGGCGCGAGGACGGTGGTCCCTCGGTCGTTTTGCGCGCCCCGGAGCTATCGACCCCGTCCCCAGGAGGCTCTTCTTCTGCCTCGTCGGTGCTGTGGGGTGTCTTGACGGCGCCGCTCGTGGAGGGAGTTCTGCACCTTCCAGCTGGTGCGTGGTCGTTTTTTTGGGGGGGCCCTGGAGCTCTTTGACCCCGTCCCAGTCGGCAGGGTGCGCTGGTGCGTGGTCGTTTGTCGTGGGCCCTGGAGCTCTTTGACCCCGTCCCATCGACCAGGTGCTCTCGGCATCTTGGTTGCGCCAGGAGGTCTGGACCCGATCCCTGTTGGCAGGTGTCCTCACACCTGGAGAGAGCAGGCATCTTGTGGTCTGCACGGCAGGGTCCGTAGCCATCTGGGCTCAGGTGGCTCACAGGGTGTTGCACGGAAACTTGCCGCCCGCCCGCCCCCTCGTGCATGTATTCCATATTGGCAAGGGCAGCAGTCATCTGTTTTCTTGTTCAATCGAGGTGGTGCGCTGAGCAGCCAGAGATGTCCAAGAGCAGCCACGAACGCAGTGCCGTGCCGGCTGGAGAAGCGAGGTGGTCTACCACACAACTTCGTGCAGCAGGTGTCTTATTCCCCAAAAGGTCCAAAGACATCACGTCGCGGGTTGAGTGTCCGCATGAATGTGCTAGGGCGTTTGCCCTGAGAGACCAAGTCCTTGCGGCGCTCGTGCGAGGCGACCATCTTCGGATGTTCCCATTGCTGAAGTCTTTGGGCCAAGTGAAGGTGACGAGGCAGATTCTGGCAGTAACGGGAATTGGCCACCTTGTGGCGGATGCGTCCCTTTGGAGACGGTCGCCGCACCCCCGCACAGTAATATTTGCTAGGGTGTTGAAGCAGAAATGGCTCTTGGACGTCAGAGGGACTGACACGCTGGACATGATACGTGCGGATTTGCGGGGCGAGTAAAAAGGGTTCAAGAACGAATCTTTCCTCTGCGCGGTGAACGTATGGTCAGATGTGCTAGAAGAGATGGACTCGCCGCCGCTGCCGCGCCATGTACGCCAGCGTCTAGGGCTCATACTCACATTGTGCGGTTTCAACCACATCAGTCATCTGGGTGGTTTGACGGCCGCCGAGCTCAAAGGAGTCACGGACTCGCCGGTACTTCAGGCTGCGTTGGAACGCTTGCTGGCACGTGCGTCACTGGTGCAGCCCACGGCGCAGCTGAGCCACGCAGGAGCGCAGGCCCGGCCAGCGACGTCATCTGCAGAGAGTTCCGTTGACTCTATATCACCGCAGGTAGTGCAGGAACTTGAAAGCCATGTTCTAGCAGAGCTGAAGGGCATGGGCATCACGGACCTGGGCCAGGGAGCGAGACCCATGGAGGTCATCAATAAGTTGAAGGCTGCGAGGGAACAGGGAGGTAATCCTTTGAGTGTGCTCCAAAAGAGAGCGAGGCTCCTTAAAATGGAGTCGGCTAGAGCATCGCTAGCAAGTGTCTCAAGTGCCCTCCGTGCCTGGCGCGCCTTCGCAGTCCATATTCAGGGGCTTCCAGCGCGTGCTACTCTACCACCGCGCTCAGAGGCCCAGGCGCGCGAGTTTCTGGCAATTTTCCGGTCGGGGAAAACAGCCAGCAACTACGTCGGGTACGCGAGGTGGACCTGCGTCCGCTTGGGCCTGGACGTTTCATGGTATGGCGAGGCGGCGAAGCAGACCCTGGCAGGAGTAAATAAGAGAGCTATGCGGTTCACAGGTGGACCAGCCAGAGTCTCGCAACTGCTCACATCGCCAATCCTGAACAGAGTAGTGCAGCTTGCTGACGCAGCGAACGTGCAAGATGGCTTCCAGGAGCTAGTGATAATCAGCTGGGCGTTTCTCTTGAGAGTTCAGTCAGAGGGAATCCCGCTGGAAGCTGGAGCTGCGCGGGAGGAAGGTGCGTTGCCGGCAGGGAGGCATTCTTCAGTCTGGATTGCAGACGGAGCATTGCACCTGCTTTTCCGGCGGAGGAAGCACCGTCCAGCCGGCTCCCATCTCGCCAGAAAGTGTTCGTGTGTTCATATAGGCGAACGCTTGTGCCCTGTGCACAGGATAAGAGCGTTCTTACAAAGCAGAGTTTGCGGCCAGAAATTGTTTAATTTCAGCGGCAGCGTCTTCGTCAGCGCTTTGCGGCGATTTCTCACCCTGGCATTGGTGCCAGGAGCGGCAGCATTCTCCCTGAAGTCGTTCCGGGCAGGGAGAGCGACTGAATTGGCAAGTCAGGCCGAGTCCCTAGGTGCCATATTGGCAGCAGGCGAGTGGAAATCATCGCAGTTTCTCAGATATGTTGACATCGACGTAGTCGAGCAACAGGTCTTGTTCGATAGAGCCGTGAATTCTGACAGCGACACGGAGGCTGGTGATGCTGCAGTCGCGGATGCAGTAGTTCGAATTTTCTCCTGAGCGGGCAGCTGAGCGGGGGGGGGGGGCAAGCGACCCCCCCTCATCGCAGCTGTGCGGAATTGCCCAACGAGAGTCCGCGGAGAGCGGGAGAAAAGAGGCTTGTAGTTGAGGGTAAGAGTGAGGGGCGCGTGTTTCTGTGTGACAGAGTAAGACCGTTCAGGCACCTAAACAATCGTCTCGCGCGTGCTGCTGGGGTCAGAGAGTGAGCGAGGGCAGGTGAGTTTGGGCTTCCTTCCTTTTTTACTCAAGGCGGTGCTCCTCCTCGCCGCCGAAAACCGCCGCCCCGACAAAACCAGTGCTCCCGCCCGAGACTTCCATCCGTTTTACGTTGGATTGGCACCCTACTCTCTTTTGAATTGGCGCCGCTCCCAGCAAGAACAACGCTCCCGCTCTAGGCTTCCTCCCTTTTTCCTGAAAACGGTGCTGTTCCTCGCCGCCGACAACCCCCGTCCCGACAAAACCACGGTTCCCGCTCGATGTTTCCTCCCTTCTTACTTACTCAAGGCGGTGTTCTTCCTCGCCGCCGAATACCGCAGCCCCGACAAAACCAGCGCTACCGCCCGAGATTTCCTTCCGTTTTACGTTGGACTGGCGCCCTATTCTCTTTTGAATTGGCGCCGCTCCCAGCAAGAACAGCGCTCCCGCTCGAGATTTCTTTTCTTGTTCCTCGGGACGGTGCTGTTCCTCGCCGCCGACAGCCCCCGTCCCGACAAAACCACGGCTCCCGCTCGATGATTTCCCCTTCCTTACTCAAGGCGGTGTTCTTCCTTGCCGCCGAAAGCCGCCGTCCCAACAAAACCAGCGTTCCCGCTCGAGACTTCGTTTTGTTTTACGCTGGACTAGCGTCCTACTCTTCAGCATTGGCGCCGCTCCCAGCAACAACGGCAGCCCTGTTCGAGACGTCCTTCCTTTCTGTTCAGGGCCAGGTCATTGTCTCACCGCCGACAGCCCCCATCCCCACCAAGGCAATCCTGTCGTTCGATACTTCCTTGTGCTTTACCCTTCGCTGGGGTTCCACTGGCGGTGTCGCATCGGCGCAGCAAGGCGCGGGCATGTGTTTTCGAGGCGGGATATGTTGAAATTTTTCGGAGGAGGTGTTTGCAAGACCTCATTGGGCGGGATATTTGGGAATGGGAATAACGGAGCCCGCTATAGAACAAGAGCCCCCCATGATGTAGCTGGTTATCATGATGGTCGCATGCTTCGTGTGGAAGCATCGCGCATGAGGGTAAAATTATTGTTGCTGTTGAGCTCTCACTTCTGAAGAATAATTATTGTTGGCCCCCCTCACCGGTGCATGCTGTTTTTCGTCCATCAAAGTGTGCCCCTCGACGCTCGCACCCTATTTTTTGACAGGGAAAGTCTTCGTGCTCAAACTGTGCCCCTGGCCCCCCAGATTACAACAACAACGGCTCCCGCATGAGACTTCCTCCAAATTTATTCACGACCTCCGCTCCTGAGACTGCCTCACAATTTACTCCGGATCGGTGCGCCCGCCTGTGACTTCCTCGCAATTTAGTCAGGACGACCCCCGCTCCAATCTGAGGTTTCCTCACACTTTACTCAGGAGCGGCGCTCCCGCTTGAGACTTCCTCGCTTGCAATTTAATCAAGACCCCCGCTCCCGCCAGAGAACCACTCACATTTCATTCAGGAATTGCGCTCTCGCCTGCGATTTCCAGTCAATTTATTCAGAAATCGCGCATTCGACGCTCAGGAAACACGCTGCGCCAAGGACGCCGTTACAATTTACTTGGTAATCGCGCTCTCGCCATACTCAGGCACCCCGCTTGAATGTCCCACCCGCCCGACCCGCCCGTCAGGGGAGCGCCCGCCCGTCGTGGGTTCCCGCCCGAGACTTCCTTCAGGAACGGCGCTTTCGCTTAGGACTTCCTCGAACGTTCACGCTCTCTCCTTCCTGCTCCTCCTCCCTCTCCCTCCTCCCTCCTCCCTCCTCTCCTCCTTTCTCTCTCCTTCCTCTCTTCCCTCATCCTTACATATGACTCTGTGCCCTATCCCCTCTCCCTCCTCTCCCTTCTCCCTCCCCTCGCCTGCCTCCTCCCTCCCTCTTTCTTTCTCGCTCTGTCTCTCCCTCTCTCTCTCCCCTCTTTCTCTCTCCCTCTCTCTCTCTCTCCTTCTCTACCTTTCTTATCTTTTGTTTGCTTCTTTATCTCTCTCTCTCTCTCTCTCTCTCTCTCTCTCTTTCTCTGCCTCCAATCAACCGCCCCCCTCTTCGCTCCTTTTCTCCTGGCGTTTTCCCTCTTCCTTCGTCCCTCCCCCTCCCTTCCTCCCACTCTCCCTCGTTCTCCCCCTCCTGTTTTTGCAGGGCCCACACCAATCCCAATGGCGGGCGCATGTGCGCCCACGAAGGATTGTCAGCCCGTTCAGGTTTGCCCGCCTGTCTAAGCCCGCCGCCCCCCGCAAAGAGAAATAATCCCCCCAAAGGGGGTGTGATCGAAGACAGAAAGGGCGGGTATCGAGGGTGTGGGGAACTCGTTTTAGATGACACACGGGCAAGTAAGAGCGAGCAGTCTTAGAATGATTGTTGTTGTTGCTGTTGTTGTGTGGAGCTCTCATTTTTGGGAAGAAATATTGTCGATCCCCTCCCTCCGGTGCCTTGTTCTGCGTTTTTCAAGTATGGTGTTCCTCCCGGGCCTCGCATCCCATTCTGTTCTTGCCTTGGGGATACCTTACCTGCCACGCGTAATTGCTGCAGTCCCTAAAGCCAGGGATGAGAGGACGGATGGAAAGGGGGAGCGAGACGGATGGAGCACGAGAGAGATTAGCAGGTGGGGGGCTAGAAGCGGAAAACACGTGGCAGAACCAGACGGGCTGATCGGGCGGGTAGACATTAACGGGCGGGTCGTGAAGGCTGGCCCAGGCGGCCAGGCCGAGCAGGCAAGTTGCTGAATCGTGAGTACTGCATGAATCGCGAGGAGGTCTCGAGCGGTAGCGCGATTCCCAACTAATTCGTGAGAACGCCGGATCGAGAGCGCGATTCCTGAGCGTCGAGGGCGCGGCGTCTGAATACTTTGCGAGGAAATCCCACGCGCGAGCGCGATTCCTGCATACATTGTATGTATGTATGCTTGCATGTATGTATGGGTATATCGATGCATGTATGTGTAATTATGTGCCTGTGTATGTGTATGTGTATGTGTGTGTGTGTCTGTTTGGTTGGCTGGCTGACTGGCTGGCTGTCTGCCTGCCTGTCTGTCTGTCTGTGTGTATGTTTATGTATGTGATTATGTGCTTGTGCGTGTGTGTTTGCATGCATGTCTCTATGTTTGTGTGCATGTATGTGTATACACAAGTGTGTCTGCATGTATGTGTATGTGTATGTGGATGCGTTTGCGTACGTGTATGTGTGTGCGCATGTGTATGTATGTCTGCATGTATGTGTGCATGGCTATCGCATTTGCGTATGTGTGAAGATACGTATGTATATGTGTGAGTATGCGTATGTCTATATGGATGTATGGTTGCGTGCGTGCATGCTAGTCTGTGTGTGTGTTTGTACGTGCATGCGTATATATGTATACATACATACATGTATGTATGCATGTATGTATGTATGTATGTATGTATGTATGTATGCATGTACATATGTATGTATGCATGCATGTGTGTGGTTGCTTGTATGTACGCATGCATTCACGCATGACTGTATGAATGTATGCATGCGCATATGCATGTGTGCATGCATGTCTGCATGCATGTTTGTATATTCACATGTGTATAGTTACGGATGCATGTATGCATGAACGTATGCATGTATGGATACATGCGTGTATGTATGTATGGTTGTACGTATGTATGTGTATGTGTATGTGTATGTATGTGTGTAATGTGTGTGTGGTCGTATGTATGTATTTCTGTGTATATGTGTATGTGTGTATATATGTATGGATGTACGTATGTTATGTGTGCATGTGTTGGTGTGTGCATGTGTATAAACAAGTATAATATGCATGTATGTACACAGGTAGGTAGGTAGATCGGTAGGTATACATGTAGAGCCCTCCGCCTTTTCCTCGTCATCCCTCCTACTTCTTCTCCTTGTCCCCCCCGTGTCTCTCCCCATTCTTACCCCCCCTCGCCCTCGTATTTCCAATGCCCCCCTTCTTCCCCCTTCAACTCTTCGTCTTCCGCCTTCCCCTTCCCCATCCCTCTTCCCTTCCCCTTCCCCCCACCCCACCCACGGCATCCCATTGTCCTCCTCCTCCACCTCCTCCTCATCCGTCCCCTCCTTCCCCTCATCCTCTTCTCCCACCCCTTCCTCGTCTTTAGCCTATCCATCCTCCCCTTCTCCCTCTCACCTTTCTCTTCGAGGTGGAGGCCAGCAAAGCCACTTGCCCACTTCCCTCTCCTCCTCCTCCCCCTCCTCCTCCTCCTCCTCCTCGTCCTCCTCGGCCTCCTTCTCCTCCTTGTCCTCGCCCTCCTCCTTTCCCGGCTGCTCCTCCTGCGGCTCCTCTGGTGCTCTTGGGCGGCTAGCCAAGAATAGGGTGCATGAGGTCGGTCCAGGTCTGTGTGCATTTTATACCCATTCGAACACGCATACCCGTTTCGATGGTGGCTTTGCCGTGGCAGATTGCCCGCGCCTTGTCCGGAAGCTACGTGTTGCCCTTTTTGCAGACGAGCTGCGACAGCCCGCTTCTCCTGCTTCTCCTCCTCCGCCTCCTCGTCCTGCATCCTCCTCCTCCTCCTCCTCCTCCTCCTCCTCCTCCTCATCATCATCCTCATCCGCCCCAGTCCTCCTGCTCTTCGCCGTCATCCCCTCCTCCTCCGCCGCCTCCTCCTCCCCCTCCTCCTCCTCCTCCTCCTCCTCCTCCTC